AATAAAGCAAACTAAAATTATCCAAATTCTTCTAATCATGATTCTCAAAGAAATCAGCCACATCCAAATGTGTCATAGCATCAAGGCCATTAACATCATCTAGCTCATTGATATCATCATTTTTGTATGCAAAATTTGCCTCCACATCATCAGTTTGAAAAGTCAAATTTGCTTCCACATTATTTGAACTTCTTTTTATAGAGGCCTGATAAAGTTTTGCTAGATGCTCAGGCGTACGACAGGTACGTGACCAATGTCCTTTTATGCCACACCGGTAACATTGATTTTCAATAACTCTTGAAGGGCCATTCTTATCTTTTTTCTGCCCATCACCAAGTTTTTCTTTTGGTGGGTATTTGGTTATAATTGTTACTTCCACCTTACGCGTCCCTTACCACGACCACGGCCTCGGCCACGACCACGACCGCGTCCACGCATATGATAATTATTGCGTACAGTCACATTCGCTTCAGGGAATGAAGCTGATCCAGTGGGACGAATCTCATGATTTTTCATTAATAGCTCATTATTTTGTTCAGCCACAAGAAGACATGAGATCAATTCAGAATATTTCTTAAAACCCTTTTCACGATATTGCTGCTGCAGGAGCACATTTGAAGCATGAAAAGTTGAAAATGTTTTTTCTAATAAATCCTCATTTGTTATTTTCTCACCACATAATTTCAATTGAGAACTTATTTTGAAAACTACTGAATTATATTCAGTCACAGATTTAAAATCTTAGAGCCTCAAATGCATCCATTTATAACGAGCTTTAGGCAAAATTACCCTTTTTTGATGATCATAGCTTTCTTTTAAATTATTCCACAATTCTAACGGGTCTTTCACCGTCAGGTATTCAGCTTTCAACCCTTCATGCAAATGGTGGCGTAGGAAAATCATGACCTTAGCCTTGTCTTGGCTAGTTGCTTCATTTCCAGGTAAAATAGTACTTCCTAGACCTTTGGCATTTAGGTGGATTTCAGCATCTAAAACCCAAGACAAATAATTTTTTCCAGTGATATCAAGAGCCGTAAACTCGAGTTTGGTAAGATTGGCCATGGATCAAACTAAAATGATAATGACAAAAATTAGAATTATAATAAAATTGATGCACACTGAAACACAATAAATAAAATATTAGGATTCAAAAGTCACCCATAAATAAATTATTCCTTTAAAATTATAAACAAAATAAATGAATAAATAAACAATGACAAATAAACATATATGAGGAAAAAAAATAAACAACACAAATAATTAGTTACAATAATAATATAGAGACAATGTATATATAAATATATATAGGCGGAAGGGGGAAAGCGGTAATGTAAATGCGGTAATATAAATAAATATATAAATATTACAATAGACTAACTAATATATAATAAAAATTAAACTAAAGATAAAAATAAAAATAATGCTACAGTGAGATAAACGAAATAAATATAAATTGATAAATAATGAATAAACAACATATAAATTATTAGGCCTTATTATAAATAAATTATATAAACAACATATATAAACAACATAAATAAATACAAACAAATATAATGATAGAAAAAAAATATAAACAGTGTAAATTATATATATGTATATGAGAGTTAGTACAATATAGATAAAACAACAGTAAATTATATATGTATATATGTATATATGTATATATGTATATGAGGGTTAGTACAATATAGATAAAATAACATGGGACACTGTAAATTATATGTATATGAGAGTTAGTACAACACAGATAAAATAATGTAAAACACCATAGATACCAAATGGAGATGATACATAAATTACATCAATTATTTGAAACAAACATAATATTTTACAATGTGACAACAAAAATAAAATGACTTAAAATAAAACAGAATGTTAACATAATGAAAAAAAAAAATTAAAATGTAAAGAAAAGAACAATAGAGTAACATTATATAATATAAAACATGGTAATTAAGAAAGGAGATAATATAAATTTAATATGTAGTCAATACATAGATATATATTGTGATGATTGAGTAAGGAGATAATTAGACGATGAGAAGAGTGCATTATCTTACGAAGGGTTTATACCTCAAATTTTCAGAGCAAGGTCGTGCTAATAACGTGTTATAAACAAGAAATAAGGAGAATGAAGAGTAGAAAAGAAAGCAAGAGATAGAGAAGACAATGGCCTTTTCTCATTCACTTTGGTTCAAGGTACAAATGCCTCATGCATGCTCTCTATTTATAGGCCTCTAAGCATTGAAGTCCTATACTAAGGTTACAAAGGAATAAAGAACATTATAATGGCATTAACAATGAGAAACTCCTCTCAAGTCATTTATGAGGGAGGTTATGTAGTTTATGACACTTGAAGGTGAGGAATCCTATGAGAATTCTAAGGGTTAGGGGTTATGGACATCCACTCATGCAATATTCATAACAAGTGTGATAATTTGACATCACTTAAATTCCTCTAACTATAATCAGATTTTTGCGAGTCAGATAGCATATCAATTTCAAAAACAAAATGATAAATAATAAATTTTAAAGTAAAATACAGTGACCTCTCTTCCATTTTAACAAAATTACAACATATCCTTGTTGTTTTCAAAACCAGTTTTTAAGGGAATAGGGTTTCTTCACTTCTCTGTCCTTCTATTTCCACCCACTTCCTATCTCAATTATTAAAATTAATATTTAAACTGCTCAGATTTCATATTTAAAATTTTTCAACATAATAACCAATAAAAAATAATTATTTTAGAATATTTAATAGTGTTAAAAATTAAGTACAATAATATTTAAATAAATAATTTAAAATATTGTGTTAGAATTAGTAAAGTTTAAAGAAAAAGACATGTATTATATTAAACCTCTATTTTATTAATATTTTTACATATGTATTTGGACTATTATTTTAGAAAACTTATGTGTTGAAATTTGTTTAAAAATTACTAAATAAATAAGTTTACATAATTAAAAAATTAAAATATGAATTAAAAATTTTGAAAAAACATATGCATCAAACTTTTTGATAATCTAAATGATTTTTAAACACATATGTGGAAGAAGGAGTAGTTTGATAGAATACATGTGATTTTAAATGGGTAGAAATGAAATCTTAAATACAAAAGGGGAGGTTTGTGTTTTGTAACTATTAATTCGAAAAAAAATCATATAAGTCTTAAAAATATATGTATATATAATTAAGATAAAATAGAAGGAACGTTAATGTATTTTAGTCTAAATTATGTTTCACTCTAATGAGTCTAGCCAATCAATGAAATGTGACAATGATTACATATGGAATAATAAGTTGCCGGATACATGAAATGTCAACCATTTTACCACATTATAATTATCATATTAGTTATTAGTCCTAGTTGAATATTAATAGTATGTACTACTAGTTGCAATAATATTAAGTAGGACACAAAATTTTAAGTCTGTCTATTTTATATTCATTACTCTTATTTAACCAATATACAAAAGGAAAAATTGCAAAACAAGAACCGTGAAAATTGCAAAAATCACAAATCAGGACTCGTTGCAAGATTTGTATAAGTTTTGGGAATAATTGAATGGCAAATAACAACAAATTTTTCACAAAATACCTGATTTGCAATTTTTACAATATTTTTTTAACGATTTTTTCTATATAAAAATCCATTTGATTCAAATTAATATATGGCTATTTATTAATAAACCATTCCTTTCCTAGAGGTCCAATTGTGTACTATCTCAAAATGCATGACGTTGCATTGATCAATCAAAGTCCATTTATACATTATGTGATTGAAACAAATAGAAGAGATTTTACGCTTTAATAAAATTTTGAATCTGTTATGAATATTGTAATTAGGGGTATGTCTATAACACCCAAGCATGAGGCTCTTAAACTTTCATCTTATATTAAATGTCATTATATCCTATAACTCCCAAATTGAAGGGTCTCAAGCATTTATTTCCTGTAGTTTCTGATTGTACAATTATGTTGCTTGATCCTTTTTTTATTTTTATGGATTTGTAACTCTAGAGTTAGTATTTGATGTTGGGGTCTTATAAACAGAGGATGTTGTGCATACAATGATGACAATGAAGTGAATAAAAGATTACTCCCCATTTCTTTTCTAGTTGTTGTCCATCTCTATTATCTCAATCTTTCTTATTTTTCTTATTTTCATAACAGAGTCTAAATTTATAAATAAAGAAATCACATTAGAACGAATACTTTTAAAAACTGGATTGAAGAAGTTTGCGGTTTATAGTTCTCATGATCTAACTAGTTAGATTGGCAGTCGAACTGATAACATAGTAATTAAATAAATTTTTAATAAAAATAATTATATATAATATGTGTGTGTGCGTGTAAGGATAAATTCCTAATAATACTGATTGTTAGCATAATAACCCGAGAATATATTAAGTTTTCAATAAAATAACGTCATATAAACTACAAATACTCTGATGAAAATAACCTCTAGAGAGGGTCAATTTTTTTTTTTGAACTCAACAAAATACGTATACATGGCAATTGAGTGAAAAATGGAACTCGATATGCCTACCAAGGTTTTAAATTCGAGCCTCATATTTTTTCCCAAAAAAAACACAACTGAGAGAGATCAGAGAGAACCATCCCATTTGATATTTAACAATGCTTGAAAATTTGGAATTATATATAGTCAAAATATAACAATATGCCATAAAATAATTGGATAGACAAAGCGTTTTTTTGTCTGATTCAACACTTGCATATATAATCTTTAACCATCAATCGACTTCGCCGGCTTTAGCCGGCAATTACTCATTAAAATATATGTTTTAAGCAACAGTGTAGGTTAAACCTGAAACTCCTCTCATCCCAGGCTTCCATGGCAGACACTATAATATATATACATATAGACACACACACATGCATATAAACTTGCATGTGGCTTATATGAATTCCATATAGCTTCATATATATGTGTGTGTGTTAGAGTGAATAAGAATATCATCAATAGAGAGTAAGAATGAGGCAAGCAGGGGCATATTCGGGGCTGCATCAAGGAAGGATGGGGCCTCAGGCGCTGCCATTGGCGAGGATAAAGAAGATAATGAAGAGATCTGGGGATGACGTCAAGATGATATCAGGTGAAGCTCCCATTGCTTTTGCCAAAGCTTGTGAGCTCTTCATTGAAGAGCTCACCAGAAGGTCTTGGCTCATGACCACTCAGTCCAAACGCAGAACTCTCCTCAAAGACGACGTCGCTTCTGCCGTGATCGCCACCGACCTCTTCGACTTCTTGATCTCTTTGGTCACCCACGCTAGTGCCTCATCTCCCTCTTCTTCCACCATGCAATCTTAGAAGGCCTCATTGTTGTCTCTCTTCTCACATCTGTAAACTTTTTGAAGTTTATTACAGAGTTTGGATGCAAATTTGCTTCAAACGTTTTAACTTAAAAATGCTAAACACCCAGAAGTTTTTTGTTTATTTGTTTTTTGTGTAAATTTGTTTCTGAAGTTTAAAGTCATAGCAATATGTCTCTTACCGTTAAAATATTAATAGTCAACATTATTATTTTAATGACAATGGACAATATTGCTACAATTTTAAATTTCTGATGTAAATTTGTACTCAAGAATTTATTAATGTCCGATAAAAATTTTCAAGACAAATTTGCAATATAACTATTTATTATAATATAAAAATATCCTCTGATTTTTATTACTAGTAGTATATAATTTATATGTTCATGTCAATTGAATAAAGGGTAATTCCATAGTACAACATATTAATGGATAGTGCGTGATACATGGAAAACAACAAATACACCCCTCAGTTAGAATCCAAGTGGTTTGATTGATCCGATCCTGCTCCGTACATTGTGTTGGTTGTTGACGTCAAGTAAAAAAGGTAAACCCCTAATTAGTTTAAATTGATCCAGTATATATTGTGTTGGTTTTGGACTTGCTCGGCCGTGGGCTGAGTGTGCATTAGTTGGAGCATTAATTAATTTATGAAAACGCTTTCATTGATGCATCATGTGTGATGTATTGATTTTATTATTATTATTATAAATTTGTTTAAAGAAATCTATTAGAATGACGGACCAACCAAGAGGGAAGTGAATTGAATGATAACAATAATTTAAGATTAAAAAACAATAACTTACATGGAAGGAGTTTGAGTTAAAAGGATTTTATCAAAGGATAAGATAAGGGAAGAAGCACAAAGCAAATTTATTTTATTTTATTTTGTTGGTACAAAGCACACGGCAAATTTACATTGGTTCGGTCTTAAACACTCGATCTATGTCCAGTTCTCAGAATGTCTATGAGAGTTTCACTATACTTCAAAAATTTGAAATGGTTCTTGGCGCTCTAGTATATCAATTGATTACTCTCAATCTCTTCTCCTTGCTTTCCTTAAGATTACAACCAGCTCAAAATTCTCACAATCTTGAGTAACTCTCAAAAGAGTAATAAAAGTTTAAGTATCTCTCTCTTATAGATTAATATAAATCAATACTGAAACTTGGTAGGTAAACTTAATAAAAACAAAGCCTTGAGAACAATAAATTTGACAGCGTAATTGTTCATTCTCTCTTCTTTGCTTATTTGAATGCTTTGTTCATTTATAGTGAATCTTCATTAACTATCGCGTTAGACTTGAAGCAATATCACCATTTGAAAAAGAAGCTGAAGGTGTAGTTAGCTTGTAATGATTGGGGTGCTTTTAGTGTTTCTGAAAAAAGTAGCTTAATCATGTTATTTTTCCATTGAGCTATTTGATCCTGTATTAGTCATGCTCAAACATGTCATTAGTGGTTTAGAGTATTAGCTATAGATAAATGACGAGCCATAATTACATTTCAAACAAATTAGGTTCAGTTTGCTGACGGATCATATATCAGAACTAAATGAATGATTATGAATAAGGAACTCGATAGCGGCTATTATCAATAATTGTTCAATAAGATGAAACTGGAATGAATGAAAAATTTGAAGTTTATTATCAATAATACCCTTTATCGATAACCTTATCGATAAATAATTAAAGATGTGAAAACTGAAATGTGAGAAACACTGATGTTCTTAGGCCATTTTATCACAAACCTTATTGATAAATCTTTGAACAAAATAGAGAGATAACCCAAAATTTATCAAAAAGCTGAATACCAAAAATTGCAAAACACTTGTATTTATCGATAATCTAATCGATAAATATCACTAGGAAATCTATTTCGCAGTTCAAGTCAAACAAATTATCGATATCATTATTGATAAGCCATATTATCAATAATTAATGCTAAAAATCTTTTAAGAATAATTTCTGAAATTGTGAAAAACTTGACTTATAAAATCTTATTGATAAAGAGTTTGCAAAAACCTTATTGCAAAAGAAGAATGTTGATAACTTCATCGATAAACCAAAGATTTTACATTTAATTCGTTCAAATCAAATACTTTGAAATTTGAGAGCATTTACTGAAGTTCTTATGAATAAACCATGTTATGGATAAGCTTATTGATAAATGTTTCTTTTTTTTTTTGAGAACCAAAGTATTATGAGAAAATTATTGATGATTTGAATTATCAATAACATTATCGATTATTACTGATTCAACGTCGAGACAACAAGCTTTTAATCTTTAAAACAATTAACTTTCTTTATCATGATATTGTATTTTAAGGGAATATATCTAGATGTAACTATATTTTTATTAATAAATAAACTATTTTTTATTGTTAATAATTTTTTCACCAAAACATGAGAAAACCCAATTCAGCATGGTCACTAAGTTGGCCTAAACGCATAAAGATAGAGCTTTTTGGATGTGAAGTTAAGATTTTTTTTAATCTCATCTTAAACACGGTCAATTACCAACAATTTTCTCATCTGATCAATTTCCTAACAAGATTAAGAGTTTGTTTGACTTAAAAAAATGGAGAAAATAAGAATTGAAAAAGATTTTAATAAGTTTAATTTAAAATAAATAGAAGAAATGAAATTTAAGACTTTTAATTGATTTTTTTATTTGTTTAATCTTACACATTTTCTTTAATAAATTTTTGTAATTTGGTTAAAATAGAATTCATAAAGTAAACACCCAAGCGCTTGACACGTCATGTCCACTAAACAAACTGTGCTTATGCTTCTGGTGGCCCAATTAAGCCAGTCCAATATTGCTATGTTTTCGGCCCATAACATCACTTTAACCGTTCATTGGGATTTATTAGGTCCACACCCGCTAAATTTGTTCTTTTGGGCTTAAGCCCATATCTCTTAGCAAAAAGGAGAGAGAGTGGCATTCAGAGTTCTTTATAAAGAGAATGACTGATACCTTGGTCTCCCGCCCTGAGCGCATGATCTTTTGAAACTGGCAAGTATGATATTACTGTGCAGGTTAATAATTTTTTTTTTTTAAAAGCAGAGTTATCAAAGTATTCCATAAAGGCATTTGATTAGAATCAATTACGAGACCATCCATCATGGTTTTCATAAGAAATCCCTATAAGCTTGAATGTATTTGGATTTGCGTTAGATAAAACAAATAAAATTAATAAGGAGTTTGGTAGGCTATGAAATAACCAGGGTTTAATTTGGGGTCATAATTGATTTTGGCATGTCTAATGTTTGGATTTTTCCTTTTCCTCTAAGAAAACTATGGCTTTCAAATTAATACTCGGGAGATAAGTTTTCCCTTCTAAGGCGGTGCTCTTCCTCTCCGCCTCATGATTATCCTTCTTCTTGTTCTTTTTTTGTTTTCCTTTTGATTTGGTTTCTTGATCTTAGTTATACTAGTTTTATTTCTCCCACGATTGCTGTACAACATGAGGTTTTCGGCCAGTAATGATAGTCACCTCGCTCATTGTCGGCGCCACTACCTTTTTGCTAAGCAGCTATGCATCCTTCCAAACTTCAAGTTCTTATTGATATTCATTGTTGTTTGAAACAAGAAGTCTGGGTTGTGCGACATGGTTCAAATCATTTTGTTCTTCACGTTCGAGATGAAGCTGACAGGTTGGCTATTCTCAGTCAAGGGACTTGGTTGCTTCAAGGCTTTCCAATGGCTGTTTATGAATGGTTTCCTGATCAACCAATCAATTCGGTTCCGTTCTCCTCTTTCTCAGCTTGGGTCCAAGTGTTTGGTCTTCCTTTGGAGTATTATACAAGAGAGGTAGCGTGCGAAATTGGCGGGCCATTTGGTCAGGTGATTGACTTTGATTCTTCATGCTCGCAATATCCCAGTGGACTGCAGTTTAAAGCTAGCTTTCTTAATCGGATTTGCAAGGCCGAAGTCCCTGCCTTTCAACTAAATTCAGGTGGTTCAATTCCAATTTCAATCCTCTTTGAGTATATCGGCCGTTGGTGTCGGCGGTGTGGTGGGGTAGGTCTTCCTTGGCTTCACTGTTCAACGTCGGAACAGCCATCTCGAATTTGGTTACGTCATGCTGGCTTGCGCTTTGGACATGTCTCGTGCTCTAATGACTTCTATTTTTTGGATGGCAAAATTGGGCTTCGTCGTTGGGCCTTATCTTCATCCTCCAATCATCATGGTTTTCCTTTCCCAAGATCCAAGTCAAGCAGATGCTTACTTGACTTAGGGGTGTTCATGAAGCCCGATTGCCCACTATGCCTGCAAAATAATGCCCAGCCTGCTCTAAAAAAAATGGCCCGAAAGAATTATTGGGCATGTTCGGGCTGGGCAAATTGTTGGGTAGGGCTGGGTATCGGGCATGGTATGCTGCCCTGCCCATTTGGCCCTGCTCGCAAAAATATATATAATTTTATTTATATATATTTTATTTGCCTCATATTTATTTCCTGAATCAAATGTACTGTTGCATTGTTCATTATACTTATTTATTTTTGAATGGTTTTGAGAGTTAGAAACTAGAAAAATAATTAAGTTTAATAAAATATACAAACAACAATTTTTTGTCATAGTCCACTCCTTCTAGCTACTACAAAAAATAGTTTCATAGTATATTAATTAGTAATAACAAAATTAAGGCCAAGTTGCTATTTTAATATAAAGTTACATTAGATTATTTAAAGGAAGATAAATAATTAGTTAATTAATATAGTATATTGATTTGTTGGGTATGGAAGCCCATCCTGCCTAACCCGCATTTGCCCAGCCCAAATTTAATAGGGCTTTCCATGGACAGGGTCGGCAGCGGGCTGTATTTTTCAGCCCGTTCATTCTTCGGGTTGATTATCAGGCAAGGGTGCTGCCCTGTTCATATGCAGTCCTAACTTGACCCATTCTGCCTTCCCAAGAAACGCATGCGGAATGAAGTTCCTTTCTCCTGTTCAAAGCAAGCCAAGCTCGTTACTTTGAATCATGATGACTCCAA